TTTTTATACAAAGAAAGAGGGCTCTTAAGTACACATAGCCCCTAACGCACAGGCTAGATAGCTAACGTTTCAGGCAACCTAATTCAGCTGTACGCGTGTACGGACACAGCTGTACTTACGTACGGACACAGCGTCTATTTTATGCTTCTCTGCTATTATAAGCTTAAAAACACTATTACTAAGTTTATTTATAAGTAAAGAGGCACTAAAAATAACAGCACTAACTCTGCTATTTCTAGTAATGCTGCTCTTACTAAAATTATTACTAAAAATAAATAAAAGAAAGTTAATTACTTTTATAAGTTTTTTAAAGTTTTTTACTTTATAATAAAACGCCTTAAGAGTAAGAGCTTATATAAATCTTTATAGATAACTGTTGTTAACCTGCAACACCTATATACTAAGCTTCTCTAAATAAAGGATAAACTTAAAAGTAAAAGTAATAATTACTACTTTAAATCTAGCGTAGTATTTAGCATAGAGAAGTTGCTTATATACTAAAAGAAGTTTATTATAAAGCTGCTTATATCTTATTATTATGTTATAACTATTTTTAACTTTTAGCTTTATCTTTTTTAGTTTAAAGACTACTAGCGTAAGCACTTTTTATAGCATAAGAAAGCTAAGGCTTTAATAAAGGCTATTTTTTAAGAGTACATTAATACTAAGGTAAAAGTAAAAGTAGAGAATAATAAGCAACTACTATCTACATAACATAAGTTACTAGGTAGTAAGTATTATAATAAGGGCTTTAAGTAGACTTTTTTTATAGATATAAGCTTTCTTACTAGTAATTATTTATATAAAAAGTAGTAAAAAATAATAGAATTATAGTAATACTATAACAGTTACTGCAAAGATGTTACTATAGCTAAGAATAATAGCCCTTTATTTACTAATTTTTTTATATAGTAAAAATAAGTTAGACAGCTTGCCTATTTTACACTATATAAAATTGCCCTTAACTTCTTGTCTATTCTATTTATAAGCTGCAACTGTAAGAGGAGCTTTAGCAGTAGTAAAAAAACTATTACCTATAACAGAAATAAGCTCTTTAGCTTAATAATTAAGGCTTTTTAACTACAGAAAAACTAGCTATGTTAGCACTATGTTTATAGTAAATTATTATTCTTAGTAGACTATATATAAGCTGTTACAACATAACTTTTTATAAAATATTAAAATATAAAAGAAATGTAAATTATAACAGTTACGCTCTGTAAGTAGACTTAAATGTTATGCTTACATTAAAATGTACTTACAATCTAAGAAGTTACAACTATTAATTTGGCGAGTCGTAACGTATTACGTACGGTTAGGAACGCTGTCCTTGTACACTAAGTCTGCGCCGTGGAGCCAAACCTAGGAGGTCTAACGATTGCCACAGAGCTGGCTTTTGTGCTTCACGCGATACCTAAGTCTCTCTAGCCTCAGCTTCTTGCTCCCCAGCCAGACGTTGTCCCACTTAATAGTAAAAGAGACCCCAGCATTAAGACTACCTAGGAACTCCTTTAACAAGGCCTCTGCCCTAAGAGCTGGGGAACCCTCTAATAGAGTAGACCTTAATTTAGCAAGGCAACAAGAGCTAGTGTGATAATATACCTCACTTTGTAGAGAGGAGCCAGCTTAAGAGGATCCCTAGGAGGAGCTGGCTCGGGAGGATCCCTAGGATGAGGCTGTACGCTTGCCACAATAGAGGAACTAGGACATCTGTTAGCTTATAATGGACAGGAGTATAGGCAAGTATAGATTTAGGACAATAAACAGGGCAAAAAGTTAACTATTTGCATAAGATCCTACATCTCTATCCCCTAACGTCCCACAAACCTTAGAGTTTTTACCTAATTGTTACTTAAAAACGCGACCTTAAACACGCTGCTGACGCGTCCCTAGACATGTCCAATTAGGGTCTATATTGCTAGGAAATATTGACTTTTTAAGACGTACTACAGTACGTAGGGGCAGAGATGTGAGCCGTAAGTTACGGCTTAAAAAGCAAGTACGTACTTACTGCTCACGTGACAGTTACGTTCACGTACTACGGTTACGTACTACGGACTGTTGGAAGCGCTGCCGTCAGCAATTCTTCAGGTGCTTTGTCGTCCGGACGAGGTCTAGGCGAGCCAAAGTTCTACGTTAACGAAACACGGTTCAACGGTGACTGGGGGCGTCCACAGCGGGACGGCCCGGCACTCCGTGCTACCGCGCTGATCACGTACGCTCGATAGTTGCTTAGAACTAGCTTAGATGCGGACACAAGCGAAGCAAAGGAGAGGGTTTGGCCAGTTGCACAAAATGACTTGAACTACGTTGCTCGGTACTGGAATGACACTGGCTGCGACTTGTGGGAAGAAATCAGAGGATCATCATTTTTTACCACTGCCGTCCAGCACCGAGCTCTAGTTGAAGGGTCAGCGCTTGCTCAGGAGCTAGACCTCCCAACTGCAAGTTACAATTCTCAAGCCTCGAATATTTTGTGTTTCCTTCAAACTTTCTGGAATGGCAGGTACGCCATTGCGAACATCAACACTGCGATTCAAAGAACCGGTATTGATGCGAACACTGTTCTCACCTTCATTGCTAGTAAGTACTAGAAGCATCAATAAAAGATGGAAAAACCTAACTTTGCACTAGCTTTTGATCCGGAAGCCAAATGTGACAACACGCTCTTCCAACCTTGCTCATCCCGCGCACTTGAAAGTCTATGTTGACTCTTTCCGCCCACTCTACGCCATACATACCTAATCTAATTCTTCTGGGGTTACAACTGGCCGTTACGACGAAGATGTCTACTTTGGTGGCAATCCATGGTATCTCACTACTCTAGCTGTTGCCGAACAACCCTACGATGCTATCCAGCAATGGAGAACACTCAATACACTTACCATCGCTGACACCGACCTCTCGTTCTGGCAAATGGTTTACCCGTCAGCTGAAACTGGGACATATGAGATTGGGGACCCTGAGTTCAACACCCTGCTCAACGCAGTTCTCAGTTTCGTGGACAAGGAAGTAGAAATAGTTCACAAATATCTACCTTCATCCGGAGCTCTAGCTGAGCAATATAGCAGAGAAAACGGTACGGCTTTTTCCGCGCGCGACCTCACCTGGTCCTATGCCTCGTACGTGACAATGCGGGGTGCTCGCCTCGCAGCAACAAGCAACTACGCACAAGTCCCTTCATAAGGTGCAACGTCTATAGGCAACACCTTAGATACCTGCGAGGCCTCCTCCGCCCCGGGAACCTACACTCCAGCAGTAGCAGCGGGGGCTCCACCTGGCGCAGGAGGTTGTACAATCATCGTTACTTTTAACGTTAACGCTACGACCTTCTACGGCGAGAAGATATATCTGACAGGCAATACCGCCGACCTTGGGAATTGGAGCGCGTCAGATGCTCTGTCGGGAAGTGCGGTTGGATATACAGATCAGCGCCCGCTGTGGTCATTTGAACTCGAACTTCCGGGGAATAGTTCGATCGATTATAAGTACCTAAGGAAGGAGCCTAGTAGAACAAACATTTTGGAGACCACCAATCGCACGTATTCGATTCCGGTTTGTGCGAACCAGGCGGGGGGAAGTGCTATGGTTGAGGATGCTTGGGTTGATCTGACTAGGACACCGAGCCGGAGGGTTCGTTTGTTTTAGATGAGGGCTCATGAATACGTAATGTTGTGTTGTGTTAGGATATGATAGATCATAGTTTAAAACATATGAGGGAATAGACAATATGATTTAGTATGTAAGATTACTTCTCGCTGACTCGAGTCCAGCTCACCCAGTCGCTGCCAAACGTCCAGCTAGTTGGCTTGACCAAGACTCCCCTCTTCCTTCCCACGCTTACTATTTCGTTCCTGATTCTTTCCTACTCTCTTTCCTAGCGCGGGGTGTTTTCTACCTCGGCAAGTTGATCACCTCTGTCCTCTGGGGACAGTAGACGCGCTAACGCCGTCCTGAGCGGATGATATGATATTGGGCTGTCGAGCTCGAAATCGGAATGGATGCTAGCCTCCATCCAACTCTGAACCAAAATTCGCACTAACTTTAAGAAACCCCACAATCTCGTAGCGATGAGAAAGAACGAGTCGCAATCTTCCTTTTATCAATTATCCTTAAATCATAAACTTAGCCAACTCCCTCTCGACCTCCTTATCCCCCACCGTATCCACGATAGTATCCCCATATTCATCTCGCACCTTCTTCGGCGTCCTAACCGTCACCGTGGGCTTTGGATTCGACGACTCGGCGTCTGCGTCCAGTAAGCCAAACGCGATTAAGCGGCTCCTGACTTCGGTTTCGGTGTTTGCGTCGTAGAAAAATAGACCCAATTGAATCAGCACCTTCTCCAAGAAAGCTTTGAGGGTCGGGATGGTAGCAGCGATCAGGGCAAACTGCAACTCAACGATGGCCCATAGTGCAATCCCGACATTCGTCCTGAACAAGTCGCGACTGGTGTAGAAATACTGCAATTGAATGGTGCGGATGATAGCGCCTGCCGATGCAAACAATCCTAAGCCCATCATCACAGACAAGAACACCTTCTCGCGACGGGGCCGATTCAACTTTCGAATAAAAGTAATCGGAATAAACGAAAACATCAAATCAATGGTAACCTGGATACTCGAGAACGTAACAATATTCGCATTGATTGTGCTCTTGGCAAAGCACTTCACGGGTCCCTGTCGAAATACCCGCGGATCCCAGTACACGCTGAAAGGGCGACATTGCGTGAACTGAAAGACCGTTTGGACGCAGGCAGCGAGAATGAGGAAGGCCATAAGGGAGTAGAGGAAGATTTTCCAAGGCCGTGATTGGCGCTTCACACGGAGTAGAAGGCAGGCGACGGAGAGTTTTACGAGCGTTATCCCCCAGTACCAGATGACTTGTGCGATGAAGAGGAGCTCAAGGGCGATGCGGCGGCGAGCAAAGGCGACAAAGACAGCATGTCGACCTAGACCATAGATTACGGCGCCGAAGAGGAGGATATAGTTTACTATTGCGAGGAACTGGCTTGAGTTAGTTCTTGATTGTTGCTAAGGAGAGGCTTCATGGACATACGGTTGATGCTATCACTGTCCAGTCATCCCAATGCAGCCTTGATACTGGCTGTACTCTCGACCACAGTCTTGCTGCTAGAAGACCAAGCGAAGTAAAAAGAAGCGCACCTCCAACACCAAGTAGAATCGGCGCCGTGGTTGTATCATTTGGATCTTTCCGGAACTGAGGCCTGTTGAGGAAATTGGGTTTTGAGTCGTTCATGTTGTCGTATGGTTGCGAGGGCTTCTCATCCGCCTATTAACACGATATTAGAGAAGTGTGTGTATATGTGGAAGATGAGTATAGAGAAATAACAGAACCGCCAGCGGTTCGAAAGTGGCATTCCTGAACTTCTCCTCCGGTCCAGAAAAGATTGAACGAAGAAGCGCTCCTCTTCCAGAAACCCACCAGAAGTTTCTCTGACAAAAAGGCCTCCCCAAACCTGAACCTACTTTCTACCCTTCATGAACTAGCCAGCGTTCGCTTTATCGTTCTTCGTCCTGCATGATACTTGCACCGTTCTTGGCCTTCTCCACGAATCGTCCGCAAATCAGTCGGAAGGCATCAGTCCCTCAGTCACACAACATTACCTCTTCAACGCGTCTCATTTGTTGCAGAATCGACTCCGAAGTACGGATTCGCTAAATGGTTCGGGATGCAGTGCAGTTGGTCTCAGTCACGTTTCATCGCTTCAACCTAGACCCCTGCACCCCACAAATCAGTGCACCTCGTGGACTGCTTGGAGTCCCCGTACCTCATGTTAGAAGTGCCGAAGTGTGAATTCCCGTCGTGGAGTTCATGCGGATAATAAAAATGGCCCTATATTGATTAGCGAACCTCCTCCCCTAGCTGATGTCGTGTAACTAAGGGTGGAGTGTCTTACATAACCTGGTCGTCTTGGCAAGAGATCAATACAGTTACACAACCGCTGGAACGACATGCCTCAGGATCTGTCAGGTGCCTTATGCAGTGGCTGTATTCTGTAGCTAGTCGTTATGTTCGACCTATCTTGGAGGAGTTCGGCGTTGATTATGGAAATAAGGTTCAGCCACGTTCACTCGAATGGGAGAAACCCGACCCCTTCGCTGTTCTCGGATCGTTTGAAGCAGTTTGTTGGGGAGCTCCTTGTTTAGGAACGCATCGCTTGGAGGGTTGTGGCTGAGGTTCAGCTTTCGGCGCTCGGCTCCAAGAATTTTTGTTCGTTGAACTAATAATCTGCTGCGAATCGAGTCACACTCGCTACTTCGTAGTTCAACTCCAGGTCAATGTCATGCCGTGAGGTATAATTGCTGAATGAAAGTCTTGCATAGTAGCAAAGTCAGCAACAAGGAAACTCCTTGTACGTGAGCACATCGCTTAGATGCTGACGGCACTGATTTTCGATGCATTCTTGATCTTGATGCTTCTTTCAAGGTTGTTCGCTGTACTTGTCATCGATTTCGTAAGGCTTAGGAACTAGGCATTGCTACAGTTTGAGATAAACTCCTTTTGAGATAAAGTTCATATCTAGAGAAATATGGGTATGTTTTCAGATAACGGTCTACGGGTCTTCCGGACATGATTCTAATCAGGGGTCCAAGTAAAGTGAAGATGATATTGGGTATCGATAGCGAAGAGAGACATACATGCTTACCTCCCTGCGACGTATCAGCATTGCCCATTCTCCAAGCACACTAGGGATCAACCTAGAATTTCATGGCCACTTCGTCTGAAGCAGTGGTCTTCAGGCAAGGGGAAATGGAGTGTCAATTCTCAAACTCTTAATGGAGATGGAGGCATGTAGAGAGATTTGCCACTACCTAGAGTACGAATTGGATGTGAGGGCTGATGTGTGTATGTATGCTAATTGTTTGGGCTGCAACGTACCTTCTTTAGGACTTGACTACCTCGTGGAGAACCTTCGCCTCCAACATCCTCCACAAAGAGGAGGTACTTCGCCCCATGAAGACCACTAGCTAACAGGATGTTTTTTTAAACGCTTTTAGTTAGAAATATCTCTTAAGAGCAGTGTCCAAGATTTAATGGAGGGAAATATATCTATCTATATTTATCTTCTGCCGTGTTTCATCAGCAGGTGTGGAGTGAATCGACATACTATTGAGTTTTGGGGCCACTCACATGGTACACTGCTACTTGAACTAATATTTCCCTTATTCAAAGGAGGTGGAGAAGTCCCATACAAATCCCGATAACATTGCTCCATATCTGGACAGCTTTAAGGCGCATTAGCAAACCTCTCTTGACTGATGGATCAACAAAATTTGACTTACAAAACACTCTCTCTCCCAAAAATAACATGCCAAAGGTACTCAAACACCCTACCAGAAGTATAGTCATTGAGGGGGGTATCTAGCAACCACTTCAAAAACCTTTCATATTCTTCCTTCGGCCTCTTTAATACTTGTTCTCTTGAAACGGCAAATTGCGCGCAGCAAGGTGCAGCAAGAACCTGGGGCACATTGTCGTTTCCGAAGAGTTCAGCCCACGCATCCACCATAGCGCGTTCCTGTGGCTTTAGCGGACTCAATTCCTCATCGGGTCGGAACGGCTGAATTTCCGCTGGACATCCTGGATTTAGAATACATCGGAGGTTTGCATAGCCGGTTTTCTGGATGAAATCAATATGCAGGGCTTTGATGGTGGCGACGTTATCGAAGTTTAGATCTTCGACATCGCGGGATCCATGGTCGTGGTTTCGATGACTGTGTAGGAATACAATGGTAGATGGGAGATTAGAATAATTCTCGATGATGTAAGTAAGGTAGGCGCTGGCTTCACGGCCTTTATTCATGCTTGTGTGAAGGGTCGCGTCGGGGTCATCGACAGTGTAGATGGCATTCTGCCAACTTCAGCCACCGGGTTAGTTAGCTGGCGTGGGGCAAGTAGGGTATGGCATTAGCTTCGAGGCTGGCTTACTCGGGGAAGTTTTCAGACACCCAATTCGTGTCCTCGGATTTTAATTTCGCAACTACGAGAATCTTGTCCGGGGTGATTGCTGGGGAGGTCTCCAGGGCGATGTCCGCGGTGGTTTTGGTGGCGACAGAGTCGGGCAGAATTTTAGAGCTGATATTTAATTAATTCTCTTGTGAACATGAAGCGCGGTGCAAATGAATCCCCGTATATCGTACCTGGGAGTTTTCGCAGGGGAATCCGTCCGATTTTGAAACAACTCCTCTGCATGCTGAGTGCCGTTGAAAATGGCGTGTATCCTATAAGCAGTGAAGGGTCGGAAATTGAGATGAATCATAAGGAGGAAGAAGACGATCGCGATCGACAAAGCGAACGCCCGTCGGCGCAGGGGAATCATACGTCTGAGAGCTTAATGATAGCGAGGACTTGGTATTCTTGATGAACTACTCCTTAAATGTGTCTTTGATCAAAGTGGTGGATGTGGTGCTTCTCATATCTCACTGCCCACCGTGCCACCCTTGGGTTGCAGCCACACGCTACTGCGCCTTTTTCCAATGTTGACGAATGGCGATGATAGTTGAACGCCATTTCAGCCTCCCCCTATTCTTCGAGTTTACCTTTCCATTTCTCTCTTTTGCTTGTCACAGAACCTTGTTCGCTGACTGTATCGGTATTGGGGCTTGATACTACCTTTAATCCGCCGTCGCATTGTACGCAGGACGTTTGGTGAGTGGAAGTTATGAGCTGCTTGGTGGAGAGGGATATAGCTTGTGTCTTCCGCCTTCGTTCAGCCTAGATTCTTCATTCTATTACTCTCCGGGACTATATTGTTCGAGTTTATACTCGAGCGCATGCAGTTCATCCCTAGTCGTAGGCCTAATAATTAGTCGCAGGCACTGAAACCATTGTGACTTGCTGTTCTTTCCCCCCACAGCTTTCGCATTTGCAACAAGCGAAAGCTAACCGGATTGTCAATGCACAATTTCTCCTGCTAGGGTGCAAATAAAATTTATCCTTGGGAATCAACTCTAAGATATACATCCGGATTCACTTCAGCAATCTCACTTACGCTACAAGAATCAACCGCAACCGTTGGTAGATAGTTGGGCCGAGAGGAGGAATAAATGAGTATAGGATTCAGATCAGATTTAAGGTAGCTGGTCTCATGAGTTTCGGGCTCTTAATGATCAAGCATTCTTTGGTAGCTAGCAGGGCATAATTAGGGTGATCCGAGCAGGCCACAACAACGATTCTGACCAGTTCCTTGTCTGCTTCAAGTCATATATCCAATACTGCTACCAGTAAAGTCACAGCGACTGGTGCAACATCATCTTCCAGCATAAGTGCGCCCCCGCATGATGCTCTATCCGTCGGAGCCAAAGCAGGGCTCGACGTTAGTGTTGTACTTGGAGTATCATTGGTCGCAACTATAGTGTACCTGGCAAGAAAAATCGGCCGCGGGCCTCGTATACAAGGCCCCTCAAGGGCTGATTATCTGCCGGAGTTCGTACAACCGACAGATAATGTACATAGGCGGAACGGGTAAGATCTGGGAGTATAGGTAGCGGGTTTAAGACAAACCATGCTAAGAAAGAGAACCTTGAATATCAAGCCTTCCCCACTGTATTATTAACTCCCACCAAATACCTAACCATCTACCAATACTCCCCTAAAGCTTCCATGCCATGTCCATAATGCCAATAGCTCGAACCCACGATACTGTACCAACACAGCCAAAACACCCACCGCATTGCTGCTACCTTACTTCTTGGGTAGAATTTCATGAACCTTCATATCCATACCCACCCAGAAGCTCTTCCCCCTCCAATTAACAGTGACACCGCCCCAAAACGCCCAAACCCAGATCGGCAATGCTGATATCTCTCTGATTATCCACGCAAACCAAAATTGTCGGAAGCCTCTCCTATTCCCAGCCAGTAACCCTGGGGTTGACTGGCCCTTGTTGTCGAGAAGTGGTTGGTGGGAAGACGGGGATGAGCGCGTACCGGGCGAGCGTTGAGGGAGAATGAAGTCTGGAGTGTCGGAATCAAGTTCAACGGATTTGGCCGAGTGTAGGAGGAGGTATTGGAGCCAGTCAACAAGACACCAGACTATCATACTACAAAACCAGACCATGAAGAAAGAGGACCAGGTCGAAGATATGCCGAGATTTGCGAAAGATGGTAAGGTGGTGAGCGCATACGCACCATACAAGCCGTGAACGATAGCTTCGGTACCAGGCTCGACGAACGTAGCCAGCGTAACTGTGAACTTTCGAACGCGCAACCACCGAACACGCCGAGAGATAGTAGCAGACACGGAAGTGTGTGAAATGGGTTGGAAGCACATGTCTCCAAAAAGCAGGGAATGTTTTCCAAACGCCTCTACATGTTCGCCTGGAGATGGCTGATAGCCTGGCTGTTCGAAAGCCTGGGGTTTCTTCCACAGCGCGTCCCCGATTAGATGGTCTTCGCAGATGTTATCGGAGAAGAAGTCGATCCCTGGGGCACGGTCCGGATTTCCCTGGGTCAGATAGTTGAGGTGGGAGCGGCGGAACATGTTGCTCTTGCCGACACTGCAAGGCGCTACGAGGACAGTATTAATGGCGACGTAGAACTTAGCATGCGCACTTGACAAGAAGGCTTCGTCCAAACGTCCGCCTCCTCGTTGTAACAGCCTCTTGAACCTTCCGCGAGAATGGTTGCGATGGTCAGAGCTCGTGCTTGCTGCAATGTCGCCATCCAACACTTGTTCCCCACCAAGTAGTAGCTTCCTTTCCTCGGTAGAAATGCCTTCCCCGTCCATATCAATCGATAAGGGCAGCTGGTGTACAAATTTGAACGGCTTCTCCCCCCCATAGCCACACAGCAAATCCACCATGCGTCCGCATACGCCTTTGCCAACCCAGACATTGCAGTCAATGACCCAGACAATGTCACCTTTTGCCTCTCTGTACGCACGACTCATATTCCTGATCTTAGGATTCGGTCCCAGCTGCAGCCCGCTTCCATGATTATTCGCCAGCGGATCCTCCTCCTCAACAAGAATCTTCGCATCGAAGCCAGGAAAGTCGCGCATCAGGCGGTCGAGAATCGGGAAGGCGGGGTCAGACCGTGAGGATACGCAAAAGTATATGGTAAGCTTGTTCCTCGGATACGTCTGCCGGAATGTCGCGGCAAGGCACTCGTAAAGCCGGGGTTCGAGGCCCTTCGCCGGTCGAATAATCGTAACATGGGGGAGGTCCTCTTCTTTGAAGCATCTGAGGCAGCTCGCGGGCTGCGGTCTCTTGGAGTAGTATCGGCATCTGGCAGCTGTTAACGTGTCGAAAGCTCCAACGACGCGCTAATGAGGTCGCTCACAATTGGGTGAAGCCGATGGCGCACACCAACCACACTACGATATACCACATGAGGCATATCGCCGCAATAATGATGCGCACCATGGAGACATGGCCGGTCTCAGAATTCGGGAGCGGTGCGCGACGCATGCGCTATGGTAGGGAGCGATACGGGGTTCTTGAAGAATTGATGTTGGCCTCTGGGATTGCTGGTTCGCTCGGAGGTTGCGGAGTTTGGCCACCTCACCGCACTGGGAATTTCACGTCACGTGAACGGAGGTCTGTTTCTGGGGTGTCTGGCGTTTCAGGACTCAATTGGGTTCAGAGACTTGGAAAGAGGGTAAGTTGTCTGTTCGAAAGCGGTGTCCGAAGCCCCGTGTGTTTGTTTGTTCGATCTTTGCTTTTACCGCATCAGATCGACAACTCTAAATACAGGTCATTTCGCAACGAGTACAAATGCATGTTATCCCCAAAAGCAAGCTGGTACTCCTTTAAATGCTGCAGGTACCCGAGCTATCCGAAGCTATCCCTTAAGTGCAGTTGCTGCCATCCAAATCAATGATCACACCCACCAACATAAACGCCGCATAATGCTCTCCAGACCGTCAAAGCGCGCCATCCAAGGCAAACCAAACTCTCCCGTTTTCATTAACTCTTAGGTTTCTTCCGCACCAGTCCTGCTGTGAGGGTATTCACACCATTTGCGGAGCCGGAGCTCGCGTTGTTATCTTCCACTTTGACTTTCTTCCTCACAAGTCCATCCCCAAGAAACTGGGCGCTCTCGTCGTCCGTCTCTTTATTGGCCTCTGTTACGCCACTGTCTACTTCTGGCTTCCTCTTCTTCCTTACTCCGATCACTAACGTGGGTGTGACTCCATTAGTGGTACCACCCTGCGCTACCGGAATCTCCTTTTTCCCCACAACGGTCCAGCCCCACGTTTCCACTCCTCCTAGAACCGCAATTTCGTCCTTCCACCTCTTCGAGCTCTTGGCTGCAGCGGTTCGTGTTGCAAAGTTTTGCTGAAGAAGAATCTCGTTTGCTCTCTCATAGTCTCTCTTGGAGAAAAGAACGGAGCCACGAGAAGTGCATGGCCAAGTGAAATACAGTGTGGATTCGGGGGGGAATTTTGACAGCCCACCAGCGGAGCTGCCTGAAGTAGTGGAGAGATTCGAGATATTGGACTTGATCCGAGGGAGACGGAGAGGAATTGGGCCTGAGTGGGTGTTGACTGGCTTCCGCCGGGACTTCTTGGGAGAAAGGTTACTCTTGAGGGGTGACATTGGCAGACTGAATGATCCCTGGGATTGAGTCCGGGAGACTGTTTGGGAAGATTCTTCTTCTTCATCGTCCTCCTCAGGTATCGAGGGTTTGGGAGGTGTAATAACAACCCAAATAAATCCTACAATCCTCCCAGAAGAGCATTCTTGGCGGAAGGCCATCATTTCCCAGAATTGATCCAATGTCTTGATGCTTTTCCACTGTCCGTTACTTCGGCTTGGAGTTCCGCCTTCCTGGATCATAGCATCACTGCCTCGATCCGGTAGCTCTTCGTCGAGTTCCACTAGATATCTAGATTTGGGGTCATCAGGAAAGTGCGGGACAAGACAGCGGGGCGGAGCGCCTGGATGAGAGGCGATTTGAAGGAGAGGGTGCGAAGCAGACCAACGGCGGGGTTCTGAGGGCGGGAGAGGAATGTAGCGAAGAGTCTCATGGAGGTCGAAGCCAGGTATGACGAGATAGCCTTTCGCAGTGGTGTCAGCCTTCATTGAGGGAGCATTCCCTGCCACTGATCCTCCACCTGTCACAGCCTCATCCTTGCTTTCTGCAAGACGCTCAGTGACCGACTTCTGCTCAGTCTCAGCAGCATAGTCCCTCACCAGCGGATCCAGCACTCTGCACCACCATTTTACAAGCCCTCTATCGTCTAAGACATGCTTATTCGAATTGTCAATGCTGCCCGGGAAAAGGTACTGGTCCTGTGCCCTTGCAAACAGTGAAACCACCAATTTCTTCCCCTCTCTCTGTCTCTCCCGTGCCAGCCATGACACAAATGTCCCACAAATTGCTTTTAGCGGCGATCCGGCGTGTGATCGGGGGAGGTTGAGAGCGGAGATACAGCCTGTCGAGTCCGCTTTCGAGACGAATATGGTGGTAAGGTGTCTTGTAGTATATATCAAGATCTCAATGGCAAGAATGAGCAATTCCTCGGGCGCACCAGCGGCATTTCCATCTCTCGGAGCTATTGACGCGGCGAGAAAATGGGATTCGCAGTACGTTCGTTCAGGCTTTCGATTCGGTGGTGCCGAGTACAGGGCCGGAGATCTTGAGGGCGGCGTCGAGTAGTGGTAGAAGGTGAAAGACACATCCTTCGGTAGCACCTCGGCGAGCAGATATTGCAGAGATTTCGAGGAAGCAACACTTGCCATTGGTAGAGCTGTAGAGAGGGAGAGGGGGAGGGGGATGCGGTCTTAAGGTTAAGGGAGGAGGGAACAAGTGAAATCCACTAGGCTTGATGTAGCTAGCCGGATATTTTTCATCTCAACCTCACCCTCGCCTCTCGAAGAAAGCGAGACGTCATCGTTGCAAGCTCAATTCGCCCACAACGTGAGCTGCTGTGCCTCCTATAAAATACAATGGCACTGAAACAGCCTATTCGGACCTTAGTATCCACTGCAACATGCTCTGTTCGCCCTATGCAGTCACGCCGAACATGTCTACTGCAGACATCTACATCAGCATTCTCAACGTCCACCCCCTCCTGCGGCCCCGAATACGAAACAGAAGCAGCAGAGCGACCACGCTGGCAGCAGACCCCCGCGCGCATGGTGGCCCCCTTCCGAGTACGGCCAATGCCACAGGGACCGGTGTTCAAAGTCAACGATGACCCGCGGAGGTTAGATGAAATGTATATACGGATGCTAGGAGCGAACGGCAACAAGGTGCTGACGGACGAGGTGAAGTGGCTGGCAGTGACGCATAAAAGCTTTGATCATGGGAGGCGAGGGTTCAATGATCGATTGGCATTTCTGGGTATGTTCGGAGTACTCACGTCAATGGATATAATGTATGAGGGGAGCGATGCTGACGAGCGACGCGCAATTAGGACGCCGAATAGTGTCGCTACAGACATCTCTGGCGCTACTCAACTCACCGCAAGCGTCTAGTCCTCCGGGAAAAGACGAGTTCGGCCGAATACCATTTCATCATCCTGCCTTGAGGGGACTGCCCGGTCTCTCCCAGGAAGCAAAAGATAGTGTGCTGGATAAGTCTCGGCTTGGGCCCATTGCAGAGCGGTATGGCCTCGACAAAGTAACGCGGTGGAAGCCAAAGCGGGTATGTAAACTCTCCGTTCAAACCCTGCATCATCCCCTCACGTGCCCTGTCTCACGTGCCTGCTTCACCATCAACACAACGACTGACATGCTCCAGGCCGACAATCTTCAGGGCTCGGGAATAGATGCCGTCCTCTCAACCTCCCTTTATGCCATCGTCGGCGCCGTAGCCCTAGAGCGTGGCGGGGACCTCGCCAACAAAATCGCTCAAGATAAGATTCTTTCACCGCTGGGCTTCCTCTTCGAAAATTGAGCAAGTTTCGCTCCTTCTCTTGTAAATTACCACCTGTAGCATATGGCAACGGCCAAGGCAGCTGAGCAAACAGTATCATGCCCTAATAAGTGCAAGGGAAATGAAAGAAGTGATCTCACCGCCTAGCGGCAGAACCGTATTGAGCAATACCATGAAAACAGCTCCTCCCACGTTGAAATTTGATCCCCTTAGCACCACTGACTTTGGAATACTGCATCTTCGCTGCACACGAAAGGTTGACGGCATCTTGGTCTGTCCTTGGCGCACATAGGGGGCTCACGACTCCTATGTCAGCATGGCTATTATAAAGTATGCAGATAATAGTTACCATCTTAACAACTGAACAGGGCCAATCGCGTGTCCAAGTACTTTCGCTCAGGTCAGCAATTTATGTACCGAGATTGAGCGAGCAAGGCAGGCATGCAAGTCGCTACAATTCGTTCTCCGGTGCAGACATCCATCAGCGTGCAATGATTTGAATACCTGTCCAAAGAAGAGATCGACGACTTGGGATACTGTCAGCTTGGAAGAACTACTATCCTCTCAGAAACGAATCCTTCCGAGGCAAAAAGTGAGACTTGCTCTCAAACTGTCAGCCTCATTACTCTAGTTGAAGACATTGCCAGCAGACCAGACTCACCACATCGAAGTCGACCAGCCCTTTGTTCTCTACACACTTTCTGATTCGACTTAGAGCAAATCAAGCGAGCCAAAGCCACGACTGATGTTCCTCGAGTTTGGCATCTTGCTCATAGAGATCTGGAATGAAGATTCATTCGCAGCTTTCTCCAAAAAGGAGCTCAGATTGAACACGTTGGCCCTTACATGCGCGAAGATGTTGCAAGGCAGTGGTTTGGTGTTACAAACGAGGGGATGACGGAATGCTTTGCGAACGTTGAAGCGTGCTTGAGCTTCGCCTTCGAATACATGCAAGGTGTCCAGACTTGGGATAATGAAATTCTAGGGAAGTCGGTCTGCGCGAAGATTGTTGGTCCGTTGATTGAGGAGTGTGGTGCTTTCCCTGGTAAATTACCAGAGTAGAGACTACTGGGTTTTACAAGATGATCATGCACACGTTGTTCCATGCAAATTATAACACTCTGAAACACATCTCTCAAGCTTAATGCCGTACAGAAAGAGGATTCATCTCGGGGTTTTTTATAATGCAGGTATGTTGGTGCGGCGACGTCGGCAGGCGGCAGCTGCTTCACTTGCTTCAAGAGGCCGAGTGAGCTAGAGGGCGTCGCAGTGCATACTTCAGTGAGATGGCGCGTGGGACTCGGGCTCCTCCTGGATCCTTGTGGCACGGTCAAGTTTGTGCGAGCTGACAGATCCACAACTGAGAGGCGCAAAAGCTCCTGGATGGAGTCTTAAGCTGCATTGTAGATAAAATACCTCGCCCAACAGCTTTCTATCCGTACGCTTCAGCAACTGGTGCTTCATTGCGAAGGAATGTCCGAACCGCCTAAGGAGAAGAAACCTCTGAAGTAGAGGCGGTACTACTGAATTTGACGGAAAGATTAAGCTCCTCAGACTTCAAAATTATTCAAATCGGCTATTCCGAGACAGCAGCAAGCTGCAGGCATTTGCGCTGCCACACACACTGGATTCATTCTGAGCCCGTATATACTTGATTGGCTTAAGTGAACCTGGTATTCTATAAAGGTTGTGATCCTGCACATTCTATTATGGATTAGAGAAACGAATTTGTATCTAATTATTATCGCGCCAAAGGAGATGAGTGGATGCTGGCAGTATTAGACATCTTCTGAGCTGTCGTATGTTAAAAGGACTAAAGCGGAGTTGCCATTTCAAGAGTGTCATCACCATACTAAAATAACCCTCGACCACAAAATCCATATAAATAAATATTAAGACGCATGCAAGCTTAAACACAGAAACTTAAATCCTATACAAATGTTACGCAAAACAAAATAAATTGCTACTGTTAAAGAGGGTCTGTCTTATCGCTCAAGCTTTTAAAAACCCATCAGCATCATACAGACTCCCCGGCGTCCCATCCACACTCCCACTTGGCGACACCACCTGTATCCTCACATTAGGCGTTCCAAGCCCGAGCGCATATCTTTTCCGATACTGACCACCTGCCAATTTCCTATCACCACGCAGCTTGTCTAGTTTGCTGGAGATAGAGAGAGTGGCGGGTGAATCGTCCTTTGCGACCTCGAACTCGCGTTTGCGAGATGAATTTGGCATTGATGGATTGGCAGCAGTAGCGGTGTGGTTGGGAGATGAAGCGACTGACTGGAAGTTGTTTTTAGGTTTATTCGGCAAGCTTGGAGGATGAATCAGGTGTGGAGGTATCGAATGCCAAAAGTTTTCGTCGTTGTCCCAGACATTGGAGCTTCTGTTTCTGTTCTCTTCATCCTCCTGTGGTGAAGTCAGATGAATGCTTGAAGCTCCTGCGTTTGACTTGTTGGGTTTCTTCCTTAGTTCCACTGTCTCCGCTCCGGTGGAGGTTGAAGTAGCGAGAGTATCGTCTTCGACGATCTCGAGTATTGTGGATTCTTGCTCCCACGAATCTAGCACTCCGCCTGTAGGCCTTCGCTCTTTTTCTTCACCCAATGCCTCCTCGTTTTCGTATGCAATTTCAGCCTCTTTGAGCCAGCTTCCATCTCCAGGAAGCGGGATGCGTTCTTCTTGGTCCCACCTTAGATACCTTCTCTCACCTTGTCCTCCCTTTTCAGCCTCTAGGTTCATGTGTCGTAGCCTCTGAATTGAACTTTGAAGCGGTCTTGGCGAGCTTCGTCTCCGTCCGGAAGCTGACGGAGGGAGAGAGGGCATATCACGGAAATTGAGTGTGGGGGCAGGAAGTTGAGCGTAACAGGGATAGGGAGAACGAGGTGGGAATGGACGCGTGGGTTGTGGAGAAGATTGTACAGAGAAGTAGGTGGAGCTTGGGAAGGACTGTGCAGTTAATGGCTGTTGCGCGAGGCCAGATTGAGTCGGTGACCTCACTCTCTCCTGTGACGGCCTGCTGTCTCCTGGCTGTTGGGATGGTGGGCTAGATGTGAAAGCAGCTTCAATGAAGGGCTCAGACATTTCCTGTGCAGAGGTGGAATTGTTCGGGATTGGCTTATTTTCGGGGTGACATGGTGAGTAGTTCCCTTCAGAGCTACTATTGAGAGTACTGAACGTGTCTTTGCTCAGAATCGATGGGCAAGCCGTATTCTGTATTGAAGAATATCGAAGTAATTGATCCTGTGGAAGAGGGAGAAATGCATGAGGCCGCATCATCTCTGGCGAACAAGGAGGCGGGTCTGATAAGCGCTCATAGTTCATGGTCCGGGCAGACGTTGCAGAAGATTCCTCTGGAAAGGTTGAAAAGGGAGAAGGAAACTGTCCAAGTGTTGGACTGCTGGTAGGGGTATGATATACCAAATAAGGGTACTCAGGGTTGTACTGATCGACGAGGAGTGGTCGCTGAGGTGATGAAGAAAACAATGGGAGGTCATCGAGTGGGGATGAGGGAGCGGCTTGAGAGTCTGGAGTCTTCAATTCGTCGTCGTATTCATTGGATGATTGAGATAGCGCAAAAGTTGGTGGTGGTGACATATTCCGGCCCATAGCAGGCAGATTACAGCATGGGCGAGGAAACTTTGGAATACTCAACAAAGACCAACTGCTCATACGATTAAGTGTTCGCGGAGATGAGTTTTGGAGGTCCCAGAGAGAGTCACTGACCATAGGTGGCTCGGTGGGTCTATGATCGTCGTTTGCCATAGAAAGCATAGGCGGGTTCGGCGTCAGTGAAGCGCAGGTGGTTGTCGCAGTGATATTCACATCTGATGCAAACATGGGCGAACTTGGGGGCCTTGGGAGAGATCGTGCATTCGAGAAGTTGAGATAAAGACCGGTCTTCTTCTCTACAGATGGATGTGGCAAATCTTCCTGGTCGTTATTTAGGACTGAGGGGCAAGGGCTCGATGTGCCAGAAGGAGGCCTTAAAATTATAGGCACAAGGGAGATCCTGACGCAGTTTTGCCGCTGGTGGGCACTACGAGCAGCAGGACTTCCTTTCAAAGTCGGTGGCTTCCCCCATGAAAAGGTTGTAGAGTCCCACTGGAATGGATTTCCGTTGCTGCTCCTTGTCGAAGATACTTGTGTAGAATCCTGCGAAAGTTGGCGCGTTGGAGTATGATCCATCCTGGATATGCCCCGCAGAATCGACGTTCGCTTTGAGCGTTCTTGGGGGGACCCCGAAGCGGCAACCTGGGATCTTGACTGTTGTCGAGGGGTATTTAGATATTGAACACTGAGTGGACAATAAGTAGGTGAAACAACCTTGCTTAGTAGAACGCGTTCATCCATCTCGACCTTTCTGATAGACTGGACGCCTGAGGAGTTGTTGTTCATAGTAGAGCGTCGATTTTCTGTCTGAGACTTTTGCTTGGCCGAGGGAGTGTCAACACTGTATCGAGCCGTGTTACTGTTGATCGAGCCCTGAGACCGCTTGTTCCTCTCATGAAGCGTGAGCATACCTCCAAAGGGTCTGGGTCCAATAGTGAGGGAATTCCTCCAGTTCCTCCTGGAACATTTCTGGACTTGAATGTTGTTGTAATGTGGCAGAATTGGGCTTGACTGAGTGGCTAGAATAGAACTACCAGCTGACTCAAGACCATAGACTGAAAGCTGGGATGGGGTTTTACTGAGGAGGCTTCGTTGTTGACTCCCACTCTTGGGGCGCGTAACATGCAATGGAAGAGGAGGCATCGGCGCTTCTGGGTCATTTCCGGATCTTTGGCTACATACACTAGCAGACCTTGTATGTAGTTTTGAATCCTCAACGCGACATTGTACGCTCTTCGTCAGGCTTACAGGAATCTCTGCAACTAACCCGGATCCATTCGGTAGTAACCGGGTTTCAGTTTTTGTTATCGGCTTCGTGGCCAAGCTTCTGCATCGAGGCTCGGGTTGTGTTGCTGTAACATCGTCGTGATTTTCATCTTGCCAATCGCTACGAAAAGCAGGATGTCGTTTCTGTAATGATTGGCCCGAAGATCGGTGACTTCGAGTCCTCTTTGGTGAAAACGGCTGGCACCCCAAAGAATCGCTTAGTCTAGGAACGAGAGTTGATAGTTTTGGGCCCTCTATCACAGTTGGGAGGGTCGGAACCTTTATCTTTTTCAAATGAATAGCCCTTCCTGACGATCGGCGCGTCGAGAATGGCCACGAGAGGCAGCTCGGCTTGTCCACAAATCCAACAGGTTTCGGAGGCGCAGAATGCGGCGAAATTGATTGCAACTTCGCAGTTTTGATAGTCTTAACGGAGGACAATGTGCCCCATCCGTTCTTTGAGTTGAATGGCAGGATTGCACTGCGCCTGAGTACTCTGCGCGGTTTGGCGATTGGCGCAGTTTTCGACTGCCGTGCCTGTGACTGCGCGATGGCGACTCCTCGCTCTTCCAGATCCTTCAAATATCGGTTGTGTGTTCGCACTGCTCGACAGAGGAGAAACACGAGGCTGATGAGGAGCCCTAAGATGACAACTCCCACACCTGTTAGGACCGCAGCCAGGGCTGTGCTGCTCAATTGGCCTGAGGCGGTGGTGCGTATTCCAATCGACGCCATTGTCTTCTCTCCTTTTTCCCTCTTCGGGTGACAAGGTATTGGGTATTTTGATCGTATTTTTTGCAATGCGCTTGAATGCTGCTGAATTTCCGGGGACGGCTTGATCAGAACGGCTGTTTGAAATGAAGGTACATGGGTACTAGTATGCTGTATCCCACGAGGCAAATTATCCCTCTTCTAAATGCAATACCTTTGGTGTTCTGATAACAATGCGAACGAAAGAGAACGGCGAGGTACACTCGTAATAAGTGACGATAGCAACATAAACAGAGGGATTTGGTGATATAAACCTAAGAACTTCTGGGATATTTTGCAGTTGTCGAAGCAATGGCTGGAATGTTGAGGGGAAATGGAAAGAAAACTTGTATGGTGGCATAGCAAGGGATAAGGGTGGAATGCGCTCCCTTGACTCGCACCGAGCTGTGTGACATCGCTATGGTCGAAGGGGGGAAACGGAATGATCATGGGCATGAATAAGGAGAATTAAAAGACCTTTCGTATAGACTGTTGATATTCGGAGGTGGCATGCAACCCTACGTCCTGTCTTCTCAGGCGTGACAGGTCTGATGGCTTGAAGCTAGCTAGGTTCAGGTCTACCTAGCATCTTGACTGAAGGTGCGACGGACAGACTTTGCAGCTATTAGAGAAGCAATCCTGAAGTTAAATCTTGTAGGGATTTTTCAGTAAGATGACGAAATCCGCGTTGGCACAACATCTTTATGTTTCGGGAAACCCTCGGGGAATTCTGCATAGGATGAAAATGTCTGCGTCAGTACCACGGATTCTTATTTTGCGGGAGCTCGATTCAATATGGTGCCGAGGGACGTTGCCGCTCCACAACTAAACTAGCGAGTTGCATCGTTTGCTCTGTTCTAGGAGAATAAGGACTGAAAGGCTTCTTCAATGATTGTTTCATCCCGATCACCATAGCGCTGCCAGCCAGAAGCACAGAAGCTTAACGTATTCTATCAGTAAGCTGCGCATATCAGTAAGCTGCGCATATCAGTAAGTTGCGCCACCCCAAAACCCACCGAAAATGACGAAACCCGCACCTCAAGATCTGAACAACACTTGAAAGAATAGTCTAAGATTTTAATATAGTTTCGTTGTCTTTCTAGACTATGGTGTATATTTAGCCTAAGTTTGGCCTTGAAATTTGATATCTTAGGTATAGAACCTAAGACTCTAATATATGTCTTAGAAGGGGTATAAAATGCCAATGTTACATTATTAGATTTTTCTGCGTATCCTCTGGCGAGATCTTGAGGTGCGATTTTCGTGATTTTCGGTGATTTTCGGGGTGCGTAGCTTACTGATAGAATACGTTACCCATGCGAATTGGCGGCGGTGAACACGGTGAGCGTTATGTCGCAGAGTGCTCTGGTAACACACCTGCTCCATTATGCTGCGGTTGAAGTGCGGGCATATGGGATCTTTTCTTAAGCAGGGGTATGGATTTAACAAGGAAAAGCACAGAATGGTAAGTTCCGAGGAAATCCTAAGAAACATAAAGTCAGAGATCGAAGGACTCTACACGTAGGATGGATGAGAAAGCGCGGACAGAGGCTAACTAATTGAGCCTTCAGCGCCATCGCTATTCTCGACACGTCTGAAGTCTGAAAATGATTTACGTGTCGTAAGCCCATCCACAGCACAGAATATACCCGAGATGCAAAATTAATTTTTGATCAATATCTTGAATTGAATCTAAACATCTAAAATATGTACTAGAAGCGAGCTGTCGAAAAGCTAGCCCTGGGTATAATGATATAAACTCGAAGAAATTAAAACACCCTCATCAACCACTCTCATCCATAATCACCGTTTTCTCCAAAAAAAAGGCGTTGCGCTTTTTGGTGGTGGATCGAACTCCGGTACATCTTCAACCTCCATTTGCATAATCTTCGCCTGTTTCCCCTTCTCCAACCTTTCCTCAAGCTTCTTCTCGTCGCGTCTTCTCCTCATAGCCATCACGAAGCAGAATGCAACGACGCCGATACCAATGCCACCGAATATACCTCCAATGACGGCCCCGATTAATCCCTGCGCTACAAATGCGGATTGCTTTGGTCGTTCGTAGGCAGTCGGTGTGGATTTTGGGCAGAATGTTTGCGGCATGACAGCGTTGTTCTTCTGGATTGCCTCGGCGAGGTAGAAAACGTATGTGTCGAAGTCGGCCATAAGGTATACTTGGCTGAGGAAGGCAGTAGAGAGGTAGAACGGGGCGGTTGACTTCTCATCGCGATCTTGGATAGGCGTGATGTTTGATGCATTCACGAGGACTTCTGGGGGAATGGTAACTGTAAAGCCGTCGTCGAGAACAATAGAAAGGCTGCCGCTGAAAGGATTCTTGAGTTTAAGAGAGTTGTCACCCCAGGTGTTATCCTTTTCGGCACCGAGTTGAGACATGAAATTTTGAGTAATTTCGTAAGGAAGGGAAAGTGGATATTGGTCAGTGGTGATCTGAGCTTCGAAAGTGTCGGGTCGAGACTTCATTGAAGGAAATTTGGCGGGATCGAAGAGAGATACGTTGGTGCCGGGGTTCTTAGAGTCGGTAATGATGATGTCCTTGACGCGAACGGTCATGGGATTCAGGTTGGAAGTCTTCATCGAGTACTTGTGCACCGGTCCTGTAAAGCGGCCAGCATCGTATCCTCCAAACGTGTTGCTGCCATTTACAGCGCCTCCGGCACGGTCATGGCCTTGTCCGATGTAGAGTGAGTATGTTCGACCAGCGATCACATCCCTGTCGATGAGGTCCTGGAGAACAATGGATGAAGCACCTATGCCTACAATACCTGGAGTGATGGCTCCACTCTCGGCAACCTCGATAGTGACATTGGAAAGGAGAGTTTGTGATGCTCCGTCGGTTTCGAAGTAGTGTGTGTACAGGTGCATATCATCTTGACCATAGATACCAGTGAAGGTTCCATTTCTTTCTGTGTCTTTTGACTTGAAATCCTTTCCATTTTCTTGGAATCTATACAGTGTTAACAAAGGTATTGGGCAGGATGGAATGGGTGACATACGAGGTAGAAAGCGATACATCGAAGAAACCCCCAGTCGATACTGAACAGTTCTTTAGTGTGGTGTTGTTGTTGCAGTACGATGACGAGGCAAAAGAAGTGGTGTTTTGTGATAGTGAGGGCCAGAGACTCTGGTTCTGTGCTGGCGAACCCACACCAATGAATGATCCATACTGGAAGCGGTCGGTTCCATGCACGGCCCTCTTGTGAATGTCGACATAGATGGGAGGCTTCGAACAGTTGAAGGCAACTGTTGACTGACTAAACAGCACAGTTGCGGAAAAGTAGAATAACAGCGACGCCATGGTCGAAAACAGACGCTTGAGGCCGGCAAGCGGTGGGTTTGGGAAAGTGAAGAGGCTTCACGTTGGACACTAGAAGACAACAACGGACAAATGTTTAAAGGAAGAGGCACGATGTCTGTCTTCCGATGGTCTCAGACCAAGAGGCAGCGTTGAAGGTTATGCGGAAGCGGTGTCTTTGTAGGCCTCCATCATCTTTTTTCAAACCATAGGCTAAGATGAGCCAGTGGACCGTCAGCCAGTCAAACCTCGACTGCTATTCTTGCATGGATGGACTTGGTCAGTGGATCTGTTCTTAGGCTTCTGGGCGCTGGGTGGAGCCGCAGATGAGCGAACAAGGAAGATTGAGCGCGTGCTGACGCCGCCGCCGAAGGACAACACCCCCACGACTGGGTTGGCGTGGGCGCTTGAGGTGCGGCCGAAAGTTGATCCCCTTCCGACTGCGAGGCGAGATGACTCGAAGCGTTCACTGATTGGACAAGCGTGTAAATGGCGCACTTGAAGTTCCACCAAGAATAGGTCCAGCGTTTATCAGATGCCGTCAATTGGCCAACAGCGCTTCCCCAATGCCAATCCCAGGCGCCCACGGGACGCACAGGCCCAGTCGATAATACACCACATCTATTTTCATCGTCAACCCCTCCCTTTGTTGTGCACAAGGCGACACTTCATCATCTAGATACAGCTAGAAACGCGCATCCTTCCGGTAAGCTCTCCAATCAAACGTCTTGAAGAAATTTTCCGTTAGTTCGCTCACGGGAACAAGGCCACCCGTCTTGTTTCCATGCCCAACCCTCGCCTTCCCCGCACACGTTCTCTATTCTTGGCTAGATCTCATCAATCTGAATTGAAAAAATTTCCTGGTAATTCCCCTGCTGGAAACCCGCTGTCCGGATATTGTTCCGTGAGAGGGATACTGACGTGCAGCAAACGTTCAGAATAACGCGGGAAGGGAGGATTCCGAATGCATCTCGTGCAGGTCATGGATTGGTAAGACTGAGGCCAAAGTGAAGGAGTACGTACCGCTACCTTGACGGCCCGCTTCGAGGCGCTTACAACACCGTCTTGTGGTCGGGGGCACTGTGGGCCTTACAGCAAGACAGATCATCGCAGTGGGGAAACCACTCTGTGGTACTTTTGCTGCACTTCAATCAGCAGGAGGTAATGCATTTCCTGTTTTCGTTAAATGACGAAGGAAATGAGTAGCTCATGGCTTCTTCTCATCCTGATCGCCCAAGGCGTCCAAGAATCAGCGAAGGCGCGCGCTTCCCTATCCACACGACCTCTCTATTTCCTGCCTCTCCATAACAAAGGCTGTTTCAGAATTCCATTTGTCCAAACCCGTCGATCAACTACTCTCTAGCGTCTTAACAGCGGCCGTTATACCTGTCATACGGAGCGACGCAGTGATGGCAAGCTAACAGGTGCCCCGTAGTGAAGGGCAAGTCACGTGGCGGCTGACTTTTCGGACACCTCCACGAAGCCAACGCTGACAGAGTCGCCACGCCGAAAAGACTGACTTTCGTATCTTAGACAGCTTTCCCCGCATTTGTAAAGGAGGTGATGACACAGTTAGACTTTAGGATTAGAATATCTTCGGAACTGTGGCCTGCAGAGAATACTGCCCTCCACCAGATTGGACACGGCGCCCCTTAGTATTTAATAATATGGTCTCCGGCCAGACCGTGGCGTAAAGTGCTACGACTCGACTGTTCTTATCCAACGCGAGCCATGTGGATACGTGCTGTAATTGGTGCCGCTTTATCCAACCGCCCGTCCGAAGGAATGTTGAACGCCTCCCGAGAAACACTCACTCCTCGCGCCTCACTATCATACAATATGTCTCCTTCTATCCACAAAACCTTTTTCATCTACACCATCTTCTTTCTTATAATTCAATAAGTGGAACAGTACATCTCATGGAATCCGGAGCTACAGGTCGCATGGCACTGGTGGCTTCGCGTCTGACCTTGTGCCCTTCTGGTGTCGGCGAAAGCGAATGCAATCTGGAAAATACCACTGGCCTGACACATCGCCTGTGATAGGAAAAGATTTCACATCCGACGCAGGACAAGTGTGTATGGGTACAGATTTGGACACACCAGGAGACTCCTCCCCATCTATTCTACTCCTGAGTCCATCATCTCAAGACAAGTTGATAGTATATGCCACCATGATGATAGATTTTAGACAGTCTCCTTTACTCAAATAACACTTCAAACGCCCCCATTTCCAGCTCGCACACTGAATGCGAGCATTGTTTTCCGTGAACATAGACTCAAACACCGTAGTACCGGGTATTGGCCCTTAGTACAGGAAAATTATCACCGTGAAACTCCCAACAGATGCATGAAGAAAACCGTATTAATCTGCACTTTCAAACACTGAACAATCAGTTCAGTAACACCCAGCGCTTATCGACTTCCTTAGCGCCAACCCGCGAAGCAACTGAGCTAAGCGTGTTGCTAATGGCATCTTTCGGCAGTTTGGGGAATCTATCTTTGGTCAGCAACCCCTCTACTTCGTCTACGCATCCACTCGCTCTCACTAGCAATACGTACTTCTTCTTCAGCGCTTCAATCAGAGCGATCTTGGTAAGGTCGCTTCCTGAGACCTCCGCCTTGAAGGCAGGCAGTTGATCGGCTGGGATCAGGCGTTTTGGCGGTTTCGCTGGTTTGGATGCCGAGGTGGGGTGAGTTTTGTCGGAGGAGTTGAGCGTGTTCAGCATGCCGTTGACGGGGCGTTGGGTGAGTGGCAGGCGGGGTGGGTTCATCAGGCCATTGCTAGCAATTTCTTTACTTGGAACAGAGAGCGTCGAGGTGGCGACAGGGGATGGGTTGGGAACCCAGTAAGCGGTTGAGAAGGGATCAATGGATCGCGGTTGCGGTTCTGGGTATTGTTAATGATTTTATGAATTACGCTGTGGTGCACATACCTAAGAGGAAACCCATTTTGAATTCTCTGAACTCTGTAGAGATTGCTCCAGATCCATCGTTTAGATGCGACACGCCGCGAGAATCCTCCCAGCAAAGACCAGTGCTGATGGGTTCGAGGTCGCCGTTAATCAGCCTTCGTTTCACCTGTGGGTCTTCCTCATCATCAAGGAAACCGTCCATATCGTCCTCTCCTTCTTCATCGAGATCCTCGTCACCCTCAGAATCTAGATCTTCGCCTTCCTCTGGCTCCTCCCACTCTGCCTCCGAGTCGTAGTCGTAATCAACTTGATGAAGATTGCGCCTGAAGGGATTGCGTGCTAGCTTCGCGGCTTCCCGTGTAGTGTACTGCTTTGTGTAAGTCCCATAGTAAGGTGGACGTATATCCTCTGGGAAATGCAGGTACTTCATAGGGATATGCTTTAGTAGATCGAGGGGCTGCCGTGAGTGGATGTTAGTTTCTCCTGTTAGGTCGATGACATCCCCAGAGGAGCTATTGATTTTATCGACGATCTCCGTAATAGACAACGTTTGTAAGCCTCTGGGCCCACGTGAAGAGAACTGTATCGGCTCCATGTCTACCTTCTCTCCGCTGATGAACTTCTCGAGCCGAGTGGTTGTAGCGGCCACTGCGACGGGGTCCTCCGCGAATAGGTTATAAGGTGCAAGGATTGCATGGGAAGGCAGCTCGAACGGAAAGAAGACTTGCTCATAGTCTGATTTTGCGTTCTTCATGATTGCCTTCTGTGGAGAGACAGGGGCGGAGTTAGCATTCGTTGGCGTAGCTTTCAATTCTAACGATATTGTGTCGGTACTAGCGGGCTGGGTGGCTTCTACTACTGTATTCCCAGAAGCCTCACCACCCGTCCTTCGTTTCATATTGAAGAAGGCACCGAGCCTCATTTGGGACTGGTAGGGTTAATGTCAGGACGCAAGATGTTGAGCGAATAACTGACCCTCTCCTTCTTTCGCTTTTCCTCTTCTTTCTGCTGCAGCTCAATCTCCTTAGCTCGTTTCTTCTCCTCTCGCTCCTCTCTTTTCTTCCGTTTCTCCTCATCCTGAAGTCGCTTCTCCTCCTCACGCTCCTCCTTTTTCCTCTGCCTTTCTTCCTCTTCTAATCGTTTCTCTTCCTCTTTCTTCGCCTTCAATTCCGCTTTTACCTTTTCTCTAGCTTCCTTCTCCATTATTTGCTCTTCTCGCTCCTTGGGGGTGAGCTTCCTCCTCTTAGCAGGCTGCTTCCCACTACCAGAAGCGGGTGTAGATTGTCTCTGGGTCGGGACGTCGCCGGCAACCGAATTGTTGCTGCTTCCAGGAGCAGCCGCCTGAATGATATTGTGGTATGGAGAAGGACTAGGAGTGTTCGATAGGACGGTCAATGGTGTGGATAATGCTTCTGAAAGCGGAGGCTTTGTGGGCGTGGATAGGGGTGGAACTTCGTCATCCTCAAGAGCACGTTTTTGAGGTTGAGAGAGGATAATCTCAGGTGGATCCTCCATTCTGTCGACAATTGATGACCGAATCGAAAGATGGAGGAAGTGTGGATTGGGGTTGGATGCTTCAAAGTGGGAGGTGCGGACGCGACTTGGGGACGACGCGTTAGTTGCGCGCTAAAAGCTCAGACAACGACGGAGGCTTGGCGAGAATGGCCGGACCAGTTTCTAGTTGATTGCCAATGGGTTTGCGATAATGGCTTACATAATTATACTCTGATTTCCTATCTGGGTTAGCTAAGTGCGCGGCGCCCCTTGAGAACTTTAACCAACCGGGGACCTTGAACGATTTGAATGATTTAAATGATCTTCCTGCTTCCCTCGTCCCATTTAGATGTCCCTTACGAATGTTTAGAGTGGTTGCTCATAGATACTCTGGAAATAGGAAAATCTTGAGAATCTTGTCCCACCTGAGAACACCGATTTCATCTCCCGCCCGACAGTCTCGCCGAAGAGCCCAAGGGTCGGGAATGCATGGGGAATTCGAGCGGCCATTTTGGTGTCTACTCACACACATTTTCTTCCCCCAACCCCAGGTTTTCGTTTTCTATCCATGGGGTTTCATCCATTGCCAATAAGCAATTTGGATTCCCCCTTGCAGATCGCTTCTCGGATAGTCTGCTGCATGCGTATTAAAGTAGCCAATGGTTTGGGCATCGTCTCTGCCTTGGGTAAAAGCCTAGTATTGAACCCTTCCTCTTTAACCTTCCGCTTAACTTCTCCCACTCTGTGACAATCGAACACCGTGGCAGAGGTTGCTGTCAGCGTTATCACTAGCAGAATAACGATCGCGAATTTTGTAGTGAAAGCTCAGAAGGATCACGTCAAAACTTAAGCATCCTGATCGATGGACGAGATGCTGCGATGGCTCGAGACACCCCACTTCGTAAGCAAGTGCAAGTGGACCTTCAAAGTGTGTAGACTAACTAGTTTGCCGAAAAGGAATTGAAATCTGCGAAATCCACCCAGACGGTCGGCCAAGAGAGTTAAGAGAAGGAGAGCAGTAGTGTTCTTTGTCGGTCTGATGATTCTTTCGCAACATTGTACACAGATGTCGAAGAGAACTCGATACCGCCATCAGTAGATGTGGGGTCTGCCATTGGAGGCTGTAGACACTCCACCTTAGAGCGAAGATGTCGCACATAGCATTGCATTCGTACCTGCTGATAACGATACTAGAAAGCTCCTTGGATGTCAGCAAGGGAGTAAGGCAGCATTGAAGAAGAACTGGGGCTCTTCGTCTACGAAGACGCGCTCATTATTGCGACAATTGACATCAACGAGCATCGCCCTTCCGACCCTGATGAATATTTAGCGATTGAGGATCAGAACCTGTTCAATACAGTGCCGCTGTGGGAATATGTTGTAAAAGTTGACGAACGTCACTAGGAGCACCTGAACGAGTCAAACAACGAGAACCCTGTTGAAGCCCCCAAGTCTCTCCCAAATAACGATAGTGATTCTCTACCTAGACGATGTGGTTATGAAACCTTACCCTAGGAGTATACGGCTTCATCCATAACGAGGTCAACGTCGAACGTTGCATGATGACGCGCACGGAAGCAGTAATTTTCAGCATCAAGAAGATCGACCTTATTGATGAGAAGATGAATTTGACGAGTCCAACTTCACCAACTCTTATTTCATTCGCAAGAACCCTATTGCCCTTCCGCAAATTGCGAACATACAAGAATGCAAGGATTTTAACCTCAACTCTTCCAAAGGCTAATTAACAAACCGGTCCCGATTTCCTTACCGTGCACATCCACGGTGCGAATGGAGACGATTTCATGTTAGTAAGTACGACCTCTCTCCTTCCACTAGATGGCCACCAGATGCATGGATTGTTAGCGCACATCAGTCATGCGGAATGAGGATTCCATTATTTTTCCATGGACTAGAAACACCCGATTAGGGGCTTTGTTTCAATGAAACGAGTGGAAGGCAAAGTAGATTGCGCTTTTAAGAATATTTGCCTCTTGTTTGCTTGAACCTAAAGCACACCGGGTGAGATATATCCTCCCATATCCTTCGGTCGAGAAGGAACACTCATCAGTCCAGACAACTTGAGCCCACTGTTTTGGCTTCCAGCTCAAATGCTCGATTCCCCATGCTGAACGTACTTACTTTTGCTCATATGGCACCAACTAAACTGAAACGACCTGTGGTCTCCGCAAGTGAGACGGTAAGATTGGTGGTGATGCAGCGGAAGATTGTTGTGTTGATGTGGAACCTCGAGGGCAGCCACGTTATGTAGAGAGACCTGATCACTTATCCATAGTGTCTTCCCCTAGATATAGAGAGCGAGTGAATTAACTCGCTGCTTAATTCACCTTCGATGTACTACCTCGCCTTTCAGTTGCATTATATCTGAATTACCCTGCAATCCCCTTCTCTTGTTTCACACCTTCATGGCGTTGCCTGCATCGAGCCAGTCGTGACTTCCTCTTCCTCGCCTCGGGCCTAATTTGGCCTAGCCTGCAATGGCATATCGTTGAAGTAACAGGGCAAGATCTGCTATGCCTCCTTCACTCCTTTTGTTACTAGTATGAATTCTGATGGCGTTGAGGAGATGCTCTTCGGGTTCCCATCGTCGCAGGATTCACTCGACCAGACCTGGGAGCAAACTTACCAGGATGACGATCTCCTTGAGGCCAAATTCGACTCTGACCCGCCATCCTGGATCTTACGGACCACCCCAACTCAGACTTCGTCAATACTAAACGAAGATCCTGATACACTGATACTAGATGATATCGGCGAGAGTAACAACAACAAAAACCTTATTGGACAACGCCCGGGAGATGTTCACCATATATTGAAGGACAGGTAATGCTGGTTTGGGAAGTGGAGCGACCACTATCATGACTAATGCTCATTAGGAACTGGGTCGTTGCACGCATTGAGCATATGTTGGAGGAAATTGTGGATGGGCTTTTGGGAAACCGAGATCAGTTGTCAATTACCTTGAAGAGCCGATCCAGTGCGGCTGGACGAGTGTTTGAAGCAGGTAAAGGCATGGTAGCAACATCTGAATCAAAAACAAGGGAGATTTCCTTCCCAGGAAACACCCCTCAAGAAGCTTGGAGATTTAGTGAGTAAGCTCACCTACCTCGCTCTGACGCTCGCTGATGATGCCGCAGCTGTGCTTTTACGCATCATTGAGCTTGTTCACAGTGCCCTCATTGACAATCTCATTATATCTAAACGGCGAGTTGTATGCCAACTTTGTATTGTTCGCTGAGGTAATCGGAGTTCAGAGACATATATTATCGACATCCAGATCTCTTTGTTAAGCAATCGGTTGTGGACCGATATGTGGACGATCTAGCCTTCACGTTTGGTGTTACTAGGTCGCTCCTCAACGTCGTATGTTCTACATCAGGCCTAATTAAGCCCTTCTAAGGTTGCTAACTCGCAAGGTTGCCGCCGCTAAAAGCCTAGTAGCTGGCCATTTCACAATACGCAGAGCAGATGGTACAACACTCCATGGGCTCGATGAGAAGGAGGTTTGAGGACCAAACTCTTTCAAGGAACCTATCTCACTAGTTTTTCAGGGCATACTACTTCCTAAGATCCGTGACGTTGATATTCTAGATCTATCGTGTGTTCATTGGATCCTTATCATCGAGAAAGAGGTACGTGGCGTGTCTTGATACCGTAGTCCTACTAAAAACCCTGTAGGCAACATTTCGCTCATTGCTCAGCTCACCAGAGTGGGTGGATCTCGGTTCGAGCAGTCTCTTACTTACAGTATGTACAACAAGCTCCCCTCTAATGCCCGCACTGGCTCATACGATTTAGGCCAAAGGATACCCCGACCTTGCTGCACGGCAGTTCCTTCGGTACCTCGCAGACCACTTCCCTTCAATTCAGATGTCTGCGCTTGTAGACTTCGATCCAGATGGACTCGCCATCATGTCTACGTACAAATACGGATCGATGCGTCTTGCTCATGAGAACGTTGCAACCAACGATACACCCGCACTCGCCTTACCTCAACTTAGTTGGCTTGGTGTTAGGAGTCACCAACTCAGCCGAACTCCGGTTACCGGGCGTGTTACGAACTGTAGTGCAAACGTTGATGCCCAAGGGCTCATGAGATTGACTTCACGGGACCGAAAGAAAGCGCATCGAATGCTTGAGTGGGAAATATGCAGAGAGGATGGGCCAGAACCAACCTGGAGAAGTGAACTGCAAACGATGCTCATGTTGAACACGAAGGCAGAGATGCAGATACTCGAAGAACAGCCTGGCGGACTGGCATCATGGGTAAATGATGCTTTTAGAGTCAAGCAAAAAGCGCAAGGAGATGCCAACAGATCAGTACCACGAGTTGCCTCTGGCTCAGACATTGGTTTTTCCTCTGTGACTAGGTAGCGGTGCATTTCAGGCTACATGTTCTCCGTGTCATCCGCAGATTGAAGTGCATCCGTTCGTCTGCACCAACACGTGGACACTGTTTATTGTGTAACCCACACCGCGATTCTAGCAAAACATGCAACACATATATGTCTCTATCAATATCAAAGACTACTGCACCCACTCATGTGAAGGCCGTTAGCGAGTCGCTTTTGGGTCACCCAATGTGATGGTCTCGTGCAAAGGGCAACGGGGAGCAGCGTTGTCGATAGCAAGCAACGAATATAGCACCCGACGCCAATCTAGTAGCTAGGATACGACTCGCTTCCAATATGTCAAGTGCACTGACCGCTGTCTGTGGAACAAATGTCTGATAAAAGTCACCAGTTTGTGGTAGGACAAACAGCTCTCGCCAAGGTGAGATTTGCACACGCCAGCACATCCCCCCTCGATCACAGCATCCCCACGCCCACACGACTTGACCACATTGCATAGCGGGCATGCATTGACCTGCAGCTCCAATAAAGCGATGTCTACAATGCCCGAGTCTGCGCCAATTTCAAAATCAGCTAGCAGGAGGACTGAAACACCAGAAGTCAACGCCGGAGACAGGCCGCAAATTCCTGCCCCTCTTCCACACCACCATGGACCTGGCATCGCGGACTCAACTCCAGCAGCCATCCTCCCACCCACATTAACACCAGCAACAACCACGAGGCAGTCGGTCTCGCTAGGGGCGCTCTCGACGCTCTGGAGAGGGAGCAACACCCCCACGACTGGCCCTCACACTAGCAGCAACCGCAACCCGCAGCCCGACACACCCATCCCGTCCATCATCACCCACGCGCCCTTCCCTGACATACAAGTCCCTCCTGAGCTTGCGACAAGTACAGGCTCGTTGCCGAGTACGACAACGACGCTGACGAACACGCTCCCGCCCACACATTCCGCCGCCCTGCGCGCCCTCAATGCGCCCGCATTCCAGTCCGCCGCCTCGTCGAACGCCAAAAACAAGTCTGCAAAGTCGACTTCGAGTCGGACGACGCTGTCGAGCCAGCCGGTTGTTGTGCGAACATACTCAGGTTCCCGCCACAGCTCGAGGCCGTCATCTGCATTGACTTCACCTCGCTTGTTCCCCAGCATGACCGGCCATGCGTCGCAGACTCCCTCCGCCTTGTCGGCAGGGCTGGCTGGTAGGAGTGAGGGCTTGCCATCGGTAGACGACTTCTCCTTCTCGGCCATTCTCCGAGCAGTTGACCCGGAGATTCGAGACGCAATTGATGCCATTGCAGAGATCTGCGCCAGGAGCAGACTAAGTCTGGCAGACGAGTACGATGCACACCTTCCTCCACAAGGAGAGATCACCGGGGCAGGGCCTGGCTGGCCCTCGGGCATGGGGACTCTTGTAGGGAGGGGTCGGATATCCAGAGTTGGCCAAGGGTGGTCGGCAGGGGAGAACACGCTGACGGCTGTCCCCGAGGCCAGCAGCTCTAGTGAGAGGCTGGCCGGGGAAAGTCGAGGGAGTGTGGCAGGTAGCGGCGGAAAGACGAAGAGGAGTCGGTCAGCATATGGAAGTCTCAAAAGCGTCATTAGCGGTGGAAGTGGAAAGAGGAAGGCTGATGCTTCTCAAGAAGAAGAGGAGAAACCGCATATCCCACACTGGGCTGTCCATGCGTCCTCTTCAGCATCAGCCCGCCCTTCTATCACCCTCATCGCCGCTCCTCAAGCATCAAAGCAACTCTCCCTCGACATCTCGTCTACCATTACAGAAGTTCTGCCTGAGGATGATCCCGAAGCACCCGCTGAGCTTGCAGATCCTAAACCAGGGCCATTACACCGCCGACATACTTCCGCCACTAGCATCCCTCACCCACGTACACGGTCAACTACGTTGTCGTCAATAGCATCATGGATACCTTGGCACCGTGCTCCAGACCTGGAATCTGGTGATTCTTCATCAGAATTGACAAGAGCCGAAGCGAGACTGAGAGAGATGCTCATGTCGGCTCAAAATCCGGGCATGGGGAAAGGGAAAGCCCCAGTCAACATGGCCTAAACTTTCTCCGAAGGGTTTCTAACATATATTGCGTACATTTTGGTGGATTGCAATCTAGTTACAACTATACCCGACGTAAAAGAAGGAGGCGTACCAATTTTTTTTTTTGGAAATGGCTGATGGTGCGGTATCACTGCGAGCAACGGAAACGAACGGGACGGGATTTGGTGTCATGTTTCGGACTACAAATGGGTTGAACATGGATGGATGAGTCACGACTCACGTTTCACGCATAACGACACATGGATGATGTATACTAGTAACGAACCGAAATGAGGGACTGGAGGGGATTTACATCAATTCTCCTTTGCGTATTAAGGCAACTTGGGAACAGAAGGGGCGAGAATCAGAGGACAATTTGGTTTGCACTAAGATATCACGATTCATGACTTACGTAGGCTTCACGCATAACGACGCTTGGATGATAGAAACTAGTAACGAATTGAAACGACCGTTTAGAGATCCAACTAAATCTGTCTTTTGGTGAGAATAACATGATTAATGTGATGCACGGCACCTTTCTCATGACCTGATGGCCGGGCACTTACAAATCACGTGTTTTCCTAGTGTCCTCCTAGTGTCTCAGATTATTCTTCCCACATCAGACGTCATACCTTTGCCACTCCAAGACTCTCCCATACTTCCGAATAGAACATCATCAGTCTTCGTCCCGACGTCATGGATTTGGACTTCTCTCTCCTCCCTGAGCCAACCCTGCCTGGTATCCCTTCACTGTATACGTTGCTTGGACGATATTACACGGAATGCTGACCAACATCAGGAAAGCTACCGTGACCGTTACCTAGAATGCAGCCCATTCCATCATGTTCCTTCGGTCGGTCGCGAGCTGTTTCCAATTCCGCGGTTTCGCCGGAAGGACTCCACTAGGCCTCCAGCTTTTCCCTCCAGTACGGGTACCTGGCAAGGTCCAAATTGCGCTCCTGACAGCATCCGCCGAGGCCGTAGAATGCCTGTTGCTTCCCCTTAGCAACCACCTCTTTCGTGGGTAGATCTCCGAAAGGAAAAAGCAAGTTGAGTGTATCGAGAGCGTCATGCAGAACGTCCATGGGTATTGGACATGCGCCTGTCTTCAGGTGATTTAGCAAGCATATTTTATGCTCGTATATTGTCAAAATCTGCTGCTAGGAATCCAATATTAAATGATCCGTGAGATGATTCGTCCAAGCCAAATTCATACCACAGACATTGACAAGGTACGCAGCAGTGAAAGTTCCTTCCGCTTTCGACCTTTCTTTGACTCCTTGTGTTGCAAGGGTACTTATGAACTGATTCTGAACGAATTAGTTTAGTGAAACACCCACCGGCCAATCGAGCGGTTTTTCATCTGGACACGTTGGCCCCACCGCGATGGCAGAGGAATTAACGTTAATGTTGAGCCATATTCGGACGGAAGCTCTAATGAGCGTCGCATAGCCTTCTGATCGACATTTAAGAACTGCTGGAATAGAGCTTGAAGAACTTCTGATAGGAGCTGCGAACCACTGTCCTTTAATGTTTTGACCAGCCTGGGAGTATCACTCACTGTTCCAACAGCAAACAGGTGGTCTCGTTGTCGTAGTTGGGTGCCTGAATGTTCGAGGTATGAAAAGAACACGGCAAACATGCGTCCATCGAAGCCATTAAAAGCCAGGCAGGAACCTAGCCAAATCGTCCTAACGAGTTCATACCTTTCCTAAGTTAAGAGACTCTGCTGGTCTTTCGATAATTTCTAGTTTGAGATGAGTGTAGCCATGCTGTTAAGATAGATATTCGATTTTAAAAGTAAAGACTAAGGAAATATAGGGAGGGTCTTGGACTTAGGCTGCGATTTGTACTAGATACGCTTTTTGTGTAGTTTCCAGCTGATTCTAGCCTTGAGACGAGGCTCAAGATGAAAACCTTTCATCTCGCACCTCGCACTTCACACCTCACACCACGTTTTCGGCCTTATTAGATAAAGAAAACTTAAAGATCTTTCCATTTTCTCTCATTAGGTTGGTTCTTAAACCACTCCTTTTTAGCGCCATCCATGTCTTCAATGATCCGAACTCGGGCCTTGCGAAAGGAGTTCGTTGTTGATAATCTACGGAAGCCTGACCTAATCGCCCCAAGCCACGAGCCATCCAGAGTGCTTCCACCTAACAACGTATTACCCAATCTTGAGGCAGTGTCTCAGCGACCTCGACTTCCGTCTTCATCGGAGAGCCCGATCAAAGACAAGAAGCAGGAACTCGTGGCCCAAGTTCAAGTAGCATCAACCGACCCAATGCAACAATCTTAGGTTTCAATCCGTCCGAAATTGTCTTCCCGTCCAACAGCGTCCGGAAAGTATTTGGTATCAAGACTCGGAGTCGTAAGCTCCAGCCGCAAAGTACTAAGGAACGCGACCCCCGATCTCTCAGCAATGTTGACATCCTTCTACACAATCTAACTACCTCAAACCCCCCCGAACTCGGTACCTCATCACGAATCTATAATACCGATTCGATCACAACCCCTGGCCTAGCCGGGCTAGAAAGTTCCCCACTTCCTTCGAATCCTCAACTACCCTCAATACGCATACAAAAAAACCCATATAGCGGAAGATAGCTGCTTCAGCAACATATCAAAAAACTCCCCTAGCATATATTGTCTAGATAATGGAAACGTTTTCATCGGAAAGCTCAGGAGATGCCGCCACCAACCTCAATGGACGAGGAATGGCACAAAGTTCGGAACCGTTTAGTCACAGACCTACAGCAGGCCATTAAATCGTTCCGGAGTTCAATACGTCGACAGGACACCGTTATCGAGCCCGAACTATGTATGGCCGGGGAGAGCGATGATAAATCTGAGACTGTGCAGCTAAAGCCCATCATATTGAATTCGGTGTGGAAGCAAATTTGCAAGAAAAAAGTCCAAAAGCCTATAAATGAACTAGCCTATCTTGATGAACTGACTAAGGGAAGAGTTGAAGTCCATCTCCGTGCACCGAGATTTGCAGGGCGCCTCCAATCAAATCCAGAAACAGAATCTGGACCCTCACCCGTCGCTCATAGTACCGCGAAAGTTTACGTACTTCTTCCAGACAAATTTTCGCCACATGGATTCTCCGCAAGTTGCATGCAGGTGGGGTGTACTTCGCGCGAAGAAGCGGTTGCCGAACGTCCGTGGATCATCGAGGGTCTTATCCGTGTCGACAGGGAGATATATGCACTTACCACTGCTCATCCAATCTTCGATGCAATCTCGTACGGAGATGACTCTGTGAGCGAATTATCTGCATCAGAGTCGAGTTCTTCATCTAGCTCCGATCTATCTGGTCCTAACAATTCTCCTCCTTTGGAATTTCCAAGAGGAACTCGACTTACCAACGTTTCTGAGACGCAACCCCACACAGCTCAGAGGAGCGAAGAGTCTTCGAGGTGGTCATTGGCTGCTCTAGGTCCTGTGAACTACGCTAGCCGATCCAGTTTGTCCGGATTAGGAGACTACGACTTCAGCACGACTGAGAGTTACTTTGCGCTCGTACAATTAGACCGGAGGGGAGATGTACTGTACAATTTTTACGAGTCTCCGGGAAATCCCCAGTCAGAATTTTGCACTATTAAGAGTATCTCCTCAGATTTTACTGGTGGAGAAGTGCTCATGATCTGCTCACCAGCCGATGTTAGGCCGGGATATTTACTTGATGGATCGGCATTATTTATGAACAGAATGAGCGTCTTTCATACCAAAAAGATTCAAACTCAAGTCCCCTTTGGTAGGTGACCCTCCACATTCAAAGGAGTTTCTAGCCAGCACTATGGCACACGAGGGGCATTCTGTTAGCTAACCACACATAGAAATCAGCGTGTCTGGTACCTGGGTTGTCTGCGGCGGGAGCTTGCTTAGAATGATTATCGCGGTATATGAGTGCGAGGCATACGTTCATATGCTACCAGTCGATCAAATAATCCGAAGCATCCAATCACTCGTGTCCAAGAACGGCCGCAAAGCTTTAGTCGACCTTGCAGTCAGGAACCTTCCCAGGATACAGTATGACCAAGAAGGTGAAATCACGGTGGTAAGCCCCTCACTTCCTAGAGCTCAAGCAGAGAAGCCTCATGTCTCTTCCACTGATGCTCAGCCGCCTCCAACAAAAACGGCAGAGGGAGAAAAGACGGGAATAGAGACGGGAATAGAGATACCAAATCTCTGAATTTAAGAGGCCTGCGGCTTATAGGTGTCCTTGTTGCAAGGTGTGTGTTCGCTTCCTGCCTTGGTCTAGTAAGTCAGCTCCCTTACTCTCTCCATTCGAAAAACCCGTTAATGGCAGATAGGGTAACACGATGGTTCCTACAATAGCCCCGAAGATATCAGATGAGTTTGATGATCTACGTAATATTGGATGGTACTGTTCTGCGAATCTACTAGCGGCGAGCACAATGGAGCCGATCTTTGACTTAATGGACACTTGGTTCTCGCCTAAATGGATCCTCCTATTGCGTGTGGTGTTTCTAGTGGCCGGGTGGATGGTATCAGGGTTTGCACGAACATCCACTATCTTGATCGTAGGCAGATTAATTTCTGGGGTGGGAGTGGCCGGGGGTCTGAACGGAATCTCTCACCTTCTGGCAATCGCGGTTCCGCCACCTGTACTTGAAAAGCACTGTAACTTCTTGATGGGCATGTCATACGAACTCTCTCGGATTGGAGGATTGTTGTAGGCACTCTATGAACCTAAGTGGAGATCCTGAGCTTACGTCGTTCTAGTTTTGGAGCCGCGCTTGCCGATTCCCTCAAATGGCGCTGGTGTTTCTACCTTATTTCCGGCTTTATGTTACTTGTACCCATATTTGCGATTCCCCTGCTTGAAGACTCAAGAGTTGTACAAGGCCGATGGCCAAACTTCTGGAAAATTCAACACTTGTTGGCTATATTGTCTTCTTTACCCACAATTTGCTTGCTTCTTGCTATGCATTGGGGTATCCGGGATGGCTGGGGAGCCGCAAAAGTGATCTCATTGTTTGCTCTTGCTGGAATATACCTTACATTTCGTTTCCTTTACACTTGGAAAGCTGGTCCCGCCGAATTACACTTGCTCTGTATAAATATCACGTTTGGGGCTTCGTTTTACCCTCTACTTTACCTCCTCCGTAAGTCAACGACCCTCGTTTTCGCGTGTTAACAACATTATTGACGGTACGCAGCGATTTGGCTCCAAGCTCTACAAGTAAGCAATACTATTGACGGAAGTGTAATGTTCCTTCCTGCCATAGCAACCCTCTCTGTAGGGGCCATTCTAGGAACCAGTCACATTATCCCAAGGACGATATCGTTCATGGAAGTCCTCTTTTTCTATTCTTGTGTGCTTATGGCAGTAGGATCTGGGCTATTATCCACGCTTCGAGTGGACAGCGGCCAAGACAAGCGAATAGGGTACCAGGTTCTATTTGGTCTTGGGGCTGGTCTTGGGGCTAGCCTCGGGGTGCGCACAGCAGCGCTCTTGGAGACCATCAAAAATGAGCACCGATTGGACAATCCATCGACTGTGCGAAGAAGCGAAGTATGTGGAGGCGCCCTCGCAATCGGAGCAGCGCAAGTGGTCCTCCAGACACAGCTCCTCAAAGGCGCACCGGAAGTGGCGTCACTCCTGAAGACTGGAGCTACTTCGTTTAAGAACAGCACCAGTCCAATCCCGCCCTCATTATTGATCGGCTACAATACTGCTTTGACTCGGGCTTTTCTTGTCTCTGCTGCAGCAAGCACGTTGGGAGCTACGGTCAGAATAGTCGTATACATTACACACCGGCTTTCAACACGTCAACCTCCATCTGAATACCTACCCAGGCCTGATGAGCTGGAACAGGAGTAGGAGCCAGGACTATAATGTTAAATCACCTACCTCTGTCTGAATTTGGCATTTACCCTCAAACTCAACGCTACGTTCCTGCTGAACTGGCTACTCCTCCTCCTACTGAACTGGAGTTATTGCCAATCTCCTCTTCTCACCGTTTTCTATCACCCTATTACAGAACTATCTATTCTATACCTGTCAAAAAAACCTGACTACTCAAGGACAATAAAGTGGAGGTAAAAGACCGTACCCGAGGAGATCCCGTACATAAATGCTATAGTATTAGAGATTAGTGTGGCGTTTGGGTATGTGAGAATATGACTGCGACCTAGGGGGAGAAGACCCAGTCAAGCAAATTAATAATCTAACCCTTTTATATTAACCCCCCAATATTTTCTTTATCTCCTTTTATCAATGAAAATGTTGGGACGGAGAATATATAAGGTATGGTAAATGATGGAGCGACTAGGCGACCGGATTTCTAGAATGTGAGTATTGTCTCTCGCAGAAGGAAGCTCTTACGCAAGATACTAGTTACACTATAGTCTAATGGACACTATGAATGGAGCATGCTGTGGGAAGACTTAAGAGCCATCTGATATTTCTGGCGATATTGTGTTTTCTTTTCCGAAATACCTCAGATTATATGCTATTACGTGCCGCAGCAGAGCCTACCACCCGGTAGAAACCAAGTAGAGAAGAATGAAATCTTGAAACGCCTTCCGCTGTAGATTTAATGGCCACTAGCTATTTACGGAACACACTAACACTAGTTCTTTCGGGGGCATTCAGACACCCCTTTAGTTTCCCACACCGCATTGTCATTTCCCTATGTACAAATATCTACATCACACACAGCACTTCCTTCCCCCCGTACTCCCACATCTCAATCTCATCATCCCTCACGGATACTTCGCCCCCAACGCACTCACCACCACCGCATTCACCGGCAACACGGCGCCATGTCTCAAATTCTTCGGAAAATTCGCCCTATCACTGGCCGTCCACCCCGCATTTCCCTTCTGCACATCAGTCGTCTCAAACGGCCTATACCCGTCACTGCCATAAAAATCCAACAACACATGCGCCTTCCCAGCAGCTTGATTATCCCAATACGCCGCTGGGCCCTCCACCCCCGACTGGATAATCGCAGACGCACCACCTGGACGTGTCCATGTGCCGAAGAGGCCAGTTGAGGAGAGCTCCATGAATACCGTCTTTGCGGTTTCGTCTTTCATAAACCGCGCATATGACGAGCCGCCGATAGGCAGGATATCTAGGTCGATGATATTCGTTGGACTCTTATTAATATAATCCTGGGGCGCGGAAAACGTCTTGAAATCCTTGGTATACGCATATCTGATCCTAATAGCACTGGGACTCCCCGTGTGTTTCGTATCACTAGTCGGATAGAATTTGCTCGCCCAATGTACGAAATACTCGCCTTTCGCCTCATCCCAGAGTGCTTCCGGCGCCCATACCATCCCCGCTGTTGCATCCTCCACTACGACTAACCTCTCGTTACCCCAGGTCACAAGGTCGTTGCTTTCCCAGACGAATATCCCACGACTGCCTGTGCGTTGGGCGGCGTCCCATGTCGTTTTCCCAATGTTGAGGTCAGTGCCGATGATGTACCATTTCTTGCCAGCTTCGCTACCACCGCCGGGGACAATAGCGGGATCGCGGACACCCCCGGTGCCTTTTGTGGCGGTGATGACGGGGTTGCCTTTGTTAAGGGCTTTAAAGGAGAGGGCGTTGTTGCCGTTGGAGAGGTAGAAGTATATGCTGGGTTTGTCGCCTAGGAAGAAGGCGCCGAGGTATCCGGTTAGAGAGGGGTCGGCACGGGAGGTGAGGGCGTTGGTGTTGGCATCGGTATTGGTGGCGGGGAGGTAGGAGGTTAGGTTTAGGGATTGGTAGATTGGGGTAGAGAAGGTGGGCGTGAAGAGAGCGAGGAGGGGAGCGTAGAACAGCGATATTGATGACCGCATGTTGTTCAGAATTTCGGGAATGCTAGCCACTGAGGCATGCAAGCAAGGAATAGTACAACAAGTCGAGCTCAATTGGACTTGAAATTGACAAATTGCTGATCGAGCTTAGACAGAAGAGAGACGTTGAAGTCCATACTTAATAAGAAAATGGGACCTGGTTGCCGAGCTTCATCATAGGCTGGCAGCTATCTATCCTATAGGAGCGAAATCTAAAATCCGGTGGTGTCGTTATTGCAATATATTTGCTTCCGGGCAGAAAAGCGGAGGTTGAGGCTCTTTAGGCGTTTAACCCTGTGTGTTGTGTCACATGCGGAGGTTTTAGATTGGGATTTTAGGGTAGGGGCTGTGATTGGCTGCGTCAACGCTTCGAAGCGTTTGATGTTCCTGTCAGTTCGAACGCGAAGGCAGAATCGAAATTGGTCGTGTGCTGGAATTCCCCACTGAAGCTAAAAAGGCCCTTGACTGATAGACTCGGCTAGGAAGGACAGGAGAATATTGTTTCGAAAGGGTTCAGTGCTGGGAAGGAAAAGTGAAGCATCTGATTGATATGATGATGCTATGTCAATGTAAGATTCCCGAACACCGTTCATGCTTCGCCAGATTCTACTCTCTGAAATTGTTGCTCTTTTCAGAGAGTGGATGCCGTGAAGAGGGTTCTAAAACGTCCGGGAGGCTATACCACATCATGGATCCATTCAAGGCAGAGCATGGAAAGCTCTATACGATCGATAAAGGTGGAGTGGATGCAAAGAGTGGGTTTCAGTCACTGTCTGAGCCGTACCCGTCGAGGAGTACAGCCGATTTCGCTGGGGTGGGCTTTGGTGGGTCTGTGAAAGCTGGGACTGGTGGTGTCGAGGTCTGGACGGGCTTCTTCTTGATGCCCAGAGCGGCGCTCGCATCCTTCTTCGTCTTGACCTGCTTTGTGAATGTCGGTATTGGCGCTGCTGCTGGTGGCGCGGCTTCCCACTCCTCATCGTCAATCATTTCTTCCCCAAGATCGAGCAAGGACCTCCGCTCGAATGCCCTCCTAGCAGCCTCCGCATCCTCCTCTTCCTGCCTCTTCCGCTCGTCGTCCACAACATCCGCGACGTCGGCTACATCCGTCTTCGTCCCCTCCTTCTCCGCCTTCTCGATCCTCGCATTCCGTGACCGAATCTCATCCAATGCATCCGCGATAGCCATCTCTGTCTTCGCATCGAGCACTTTTGTTTCTAATTCCTTCATGGCATCGTGCTCCGCCTCCTCTCTCTCAAGCCTGTCCAGTCTCTCCTCTTCCGTCTCCTCAGCCAACTTCGCCTCTCTCCACGGCTCAAAATTCCGTTTCGCGCCCTTCTCGCACTCGTAATCCATATTCTTCGGATCTGTCTTGAAGGTGATTTCTCCGCTACATCTCGTGCACCGAATGTAGAAGCGGTAGACGACGATGTTGTAGTACTTCTCGTCGGAGGTTTCTTTACGCGCGTTGAACTTTCGGCCTTTGTAGATGAACTCGCCACAGTGCGTGCATTTCATAGAGAAGGGCGCCATCAGACGGACGGTTTGGAGTTTCTTAGGCCCGGTGGATTTGCTGCGGTTGCGGCCGAGTTTGGAGGGGTCGAAGTCGGGAGGGTAGTATTTGGTGAGGACTTTTCGCTCGGACATAGTGGCGGTGGATCAGATGAAGAGCTAGACAGGAGGGATGGGTTGTGTTTTGGGGGGTCCTTGTATTCGGTGAGAGTATCGCGAGCGTGAGGTGTTGTGGTTGTTGAATTGTTGGAGTGCCTGCGGCGAAATAACTAAGCTAACTAACGCGTGCCCCCTGCGTAGCGAGACACCCTGTGTGGCGAGACAAATAAGGGCTACTTTGACTTTCAGCAGCTGAAAAGTCCATGCGCGCAACAAAGTTGTTATAATTCTATAGGGATGACCTACTGGAGCCAATTCTAAATGCCTATAGTCAACACTTTCCTAAAAGTTACGTTTGCACTGTCACCTCTGCGCCTGATTTATACAGCGCCTTCTTTTGTAGCGTAATAGACTTACCCCCCTACAGCTTTAATGGTAAGTCTTTCTTGCTCCTACTTTTCATAAAATAGCCTTATACTAGCCCCAAACCCTCCCTCTAAACTTAGAAGTCATCATTAGCCTTGTGCGCGCTGTTGTGGGCAAATTCATACACGGCCGCCATGTCGATTTGGTACTTCTAGCGGAAGCGAACACTGATCCTAGCTAACGCGAGATGACTCCGCGCGTATTTAACGATTGACTTGGAGCAGCACAAGGACTCACCCGACCCCAGCGCTGGAAATGATCCTTAATTAATCCGTATATCTCTCCGCAGTGCCATCCATTCTAGACGGTCATGACAAGGGGGTAGCTATTGCGGCTCGGTCTTCCTCCCTGCTTGTGGTGGCGAACTAAAGTATCTTATGCATCAATTGTGTGCTTATACGTACCTAGTCACATTACCACAGAGCCCTTTTTGCTTGAAGAGGATATGGATCAAAGAGTCTTCGCATCAGCAGTCCTACTGAGGTTTATCTAAAACATTAGTCATTATAGTACGCTTGCTATAAAGACAAGCAACATAGATAGAAAAAGTGTACATGTAAGTTCTGCTTAAAAGGGTATATCAATTGCGTACATGTACCCATTTCTCCATGAATCCTGGCGTAAGGTCGTTCACACAAGTCGTATATCGATCCTCTGTTTTACGACGTAGTCGCTTTGTATCGATCCAACACCAATCCTTCTATACTCGCCATCCACACCGGTTGACTTGACAATTAGAATATAGAATTCTTGAATACCCCTATTGCTTCTCCTTCCTACAAGAACACATTGTTCTTTGCGAAGATCTTGACCTCCCTCAACGTCATACTGCATCCTCCCTCTTTCTACTCCACTATAATCCAAGACCGTACACTGTGTCTCATAGAGTCTTGTTGTACAGTTCTGAAATGTCCATAGGTCGGCGATTATGGCGTGGTCGCATTCGCACTTCTCATCAAATAGGAGGTGATCATTCCACTCAACTTCACCTAGGGTGATGTCCATGAACTGAATGCCTCCACTACATGCCATCCATGACCAAGATGGCACATAATAATCGTACGCAATCTCTTTCATCTTGTTGTTCGATGCCTGCCAAAGGAGATTCCTATGAAAGTACTTCTGGAAGATGCCATATCTGCTATGACAATTTAAAGCACCCTCCATACGAACCACCAAACCAGATATTGCAACGTATCGGTCAGTTGGGACAGTAAGAGTCCGCATTGAGTAATCCTGGAAAAGGAAAGCAATACAGTCTAGCGTACGTCTCATGCCTGATCGAATGAGCCGATCCGGGAAATTTGGATCTAGTATAAAGTACCTGTTTGTTACAGGGCTATAAATCAAGATGTTTTCGTCAGACAAATGTTGTCAACAGGATTTTAAGCTCTTACCTCCGTAGCCGGGTAAGGTTCTCGCAGTAAATCCCTTCGCCACATTCCCAGTATGTCTGATTGGCACTAAAATGGATAGTACGTCGCGACAGAACCCCTTCCTGCATTACCCAAGCTCGCTTGTTAAGTAGCGCATTGCCAACATCATTGTTAAAATCATCTATATCAGTGCTGATATAGAACTGTTTGCCGGAAGCATCTTGAACATAGACATACTCAGTGCTTACGTCCCGCTTAAGGAACCCTGCTTTAGAGTTGACTGCCGCAGTTGCAGCAATTACGCAGTGAGCGTGCGAAAAGACAGTTTCCATTTTCCCAGATTCCAATTCCCAATCTTTACCATTATCTCCATCTTGGATGATGCAGAGTGAGTCAATCCAGAGATAGGAGATGTCAAGCTCTCGGGTCACCTTAACGGCGTCTTGGAAAGTCTTTGGTAGTTCAGAAAGACTAAATCCTTTGGACCGCTGAATAATATTATCCCGAGTTGTACAGTATACTTTCTTCTCTTCAATTGATGGATCACCCCAGCAGTGAGATAATGCGACATATTTCTGCTTGGCTATCTCTGAGACAGATACAAGACGGATAAAGTCTGAAGCGTAATCTAAATCCTTTGGATTACCAACGTAGAGGACTCTTGTCGGCATTGCTATTTTGGATGCATCTTGGCCCTTGTGGCAACTATGAAACTTGTCGCACTGACGAAGCCATGCGCGAAGGAGTGCAAATTGCGTAGGGCTTTCACGCTCAGGTAGAATTGGGAGGCCTATTGGGATATCGCGTCGCATTCCAGTCGAGTTCTCTGTTTCAATATATACAGTAAGTACTGCTTTTCTCTAGCACGCAGGAATATTCAAGAACGGACCTGGATCCCAACAAAACCGTACAAGACGTGGGCCTTCTTTTACTCGAAGTGCTGAGTGAGTTCGCTCTATGTGTATATTTCCGTGAGCACCGTGGAACCGCTGAAATGCTTGAAGAAGCAATTTGCAAATCGAACAGTTTTCTGCAGAAGTACCGATATCAGAAAGACTAGTGCGGTAAGTGGTATTCGTATGAGCCTCAGCTACGAGTGCGCTGCAGTAGGAACAAACGTGGATGATATCAGGTAGCGGACGTAGTCGTAAACTCGAGAGAAACTGTTGTGCAAAGTGGTTGTCGAAATGAAGAAGCCAATCTTTGCGAAACTCCTATTCCCTAGTTAGTCTACTGTCTACACTTTCACGGTCAACTTACCCTCTACACCACCAGACACACCTGCATTAGCAGCAGCCTCGCGCCTCAGTGTTCGCAGGTCAACTTACTTCCTACCCACCAGACACACTGGCATTAGCAGCAGCTTCGCGTCTCAGTGTTCGCAGGTCAACTTACCTTCTATACCACCAGACACACCAGCATTAGCAGCAGCCTCGCGTTTCAGTGTTCGCAGGTCAACTTACAAACTACATCACCAGACACACCAGCATTAGCAGCAGCTTCGCATTTCAGTGTTCGCAGGTCAACTTACGTCCTACACCACCAGACACACCAGCATTAGCAGTAGCCTCGCGTTTCAGTGTTCGCAGGTCAACTTACGCCCTACACCACCAGACACACCAGCATTAGCAGCAGCCTCACGTCTTAGTGTTCGCAGGTCAACTTACAACCTACACCAGCATTAGCAACAGCCTCGCGTTTCAGTGTTCCCGGGTCAACTTACCACCTACACCACCAGACACACCTGCATTAGCAGCAGCCTCGCGTTTCAGTGTTCGCAGGTCAACTTACGTACTACACCACCAGACACACC